CATCGAAGAATCATGATCAGCTATTGTCCGATGTTCAGCTCGGCGCTGGTTACGAACAAGTGAAAGTATATGCAATGGTAACGCAGAATCAACGACCAGGTATAATAACAGAACTTGTAACCAAGAAATGATGAACTCACTGCAACTGCCTATTCCTCTCTTCGAGATAATTGTTCTGGTCTAGAAGCATTTTCTTCTCTTTGTTATGACTAGCAGTTCCATTTGCAACAGAATCTTCACCGTCAGTAGGTATAGTGGGTGTACGTATATACAGGGATAAGTCAACACTTAGCGGCTGCTCCTATAAAATTGAAAATTTCAATATTGAAAATACAACTCGTTTTTTCACATCATTGCATACTAGGAAGTGACAGAAAAATAGCATAACCAAGCTCGCAATAGAAATTAGCCTGCGAAAATTCCGTGTGGATATGACGGTAACCATACGAACCGTCGAAGTATTGCACCAATGCAATTACATCATTGATGAACTGAAGCAGCGCCAAAGTACATCTGCCTCGCGAAAGGATTGCTATTGCTCATGCTCACTTTTGATAAGGAACGAGAAGAAGCTTTTCCCAAGAAAAGCAGAATTACTCATGAGCGGAGCACCTATCAGCAAAAGTCAGCGCGTTGATATTCACTGCGAAAGACATAAAGTCGTCCTACGACGCTGGTAATAATCCGTAGTTAGTCATTGTTGTGTATGGCAATTAGACGGCCAAGACGCATGGTCGTAAGTCACGCGTTTTTGTCGCCCTTATCCCCCGCAATTTTGAGTAGGTTGAAGTTTGGAAATGACGCAGTCTCTACGATCACGAAGCTGGCTACCAAGTACTGGAGGCCTTCCACATATAACGTGACCGTGGGACGTGCCTTTACATGCATAGTTCACAACGGGTGCTAAGACACCATATCACACCAAACGGTGCGGCGAGGCGTTACAGTTTAGCGGAATGTGATAAATCATAAAAATGTAGAGGTACAAGGTAAGCCAAAGGTAAACATCTTTGGGATACATACTCGAGTACTTACCCATTGCTATGCTCATAATTAAATACTTTCACAGGGAAAAAAGTAGTGCGTACCTGGAGATGATCATGTTCTAGCACAAGATTGCAGTCCACCACTGACAAACCAAGAAGGGCACCGGTTAGTTGCACGATTTCTTCTTGCCGCAACAGCGCCCAGTCCTCATAGAAAGTTCTTAAAGAAAAAAGTTTACACAGACCGCAAAACTATGAAATACAAAACTAAAAAAACACTCACTTCAATAGAGGGGAGTTGGCTATGACGGTGAAAAAATCGAAAAGCTTTTTCTGCATCATAGCAAGTCGGAGGAATGCGCGCAGCCGAGATATTGGCGTGCTAAAACATTAGTGAAATTGAGAAACAAGGAAACGTTGAAGGCTTAGGCACTATGCTTTGCCAGGCAGCAGAACCTGTGAGAGTATAAAGGTAGCTCCTCCCAAAGGTACGCCCCACGTTAAAAGTGGTCAGTTGTGCGGCTCAAACGCTAATAACAAGACGGCGAATGACATAAAAATGAAGCAAAAAAGGCAAAGAATACCTCTACGTAATGCCCTATATAAAACCTGAAGCTGAACCGCGCTTGTACGTGCACAAGCCGAAGGAAGGGTGTGGTTAGAGGAGTTCTCACTTGTTGGTATCACAACTATATCATCTCTTTCCCCTTACCACCACAATCTCACCATCCGAAATGGAGAGACCCTCACCACTAGGAAGCCTTTAGAAATGAAACTGGGCGTTGCCGTGATCAATGGGCGGAGACGTGACCTCGTGTCGCGCTTTCCTCAAGTTTTTTTTTTTGAGCTGCGAAAAAAGTACATCTTCTATGCTTGCAGAACGTGCCTCAGACGGCTCGAGCATGGGTTCAGAAGGCTGTTCAATAGGGGGACAAGGCTGGGAAGGAAATACGAAAAACGGGAAAAGAGAGCATTCTGCCGATCCCGCTTTTTCCCTGTTTCTTACTGAAGGTGGTTTTTGAAAACATAAAGCACACAGAGCTGCTTTCATACACTGCGAACTAAAGAATCCACGATTTGGGAGAATTCGTTACTTGAGTGAGAGCAGCAAGGATGCTTGATACAAGAAAATCGCGAACCAATCATTCCCCGCCTAACGTTTGATCGAGGAGTCGATCCTATACGTTCGTGAAATGTAAAAAGTATAGTCCCAGGTACGTTCCTAGGAGCGTTGCAGTAGCTCATAGAGGATGTGGAGCTGCTCGGTGTGAGACTGCGAGGGTTCAACTCAATCGTTCTAACAGTCTTCCAAGGAAAGAGTTCAATCAGGCCTTGATAACTCACAGTAACGATTCGATTTGATCGACACAAGTAGCAGTTTCTAGCATAGCCGCATCCGTTCTCGCTATTTTCACAATAGTGGCCCACATTTCTGCATCAGGACTTTTCATGACAATCAGCGATTTCTGCCCTAAAATACTTCAACATCAACAATATGTGGAGAAAGTTGTCAGTTCAACCAGTACTTACCTGGAGCCTTGAATCCGTGCCATAAGATTTTCTCAAGCATCATAAGTAAATCACTGATTTGTTGGGTATCACATTCAAGTATTCGATTATTGTCAGCCATACACTGTTCCAGGAATGCCCGCAACACAATTCTTGTTATTGTTAGAAGATTGGTCCGCTCATTCTCTAAAACAGGCAAACTAAGAAGAGATACGTGATTGTGTCGAGGTACAGCTGTCCAATTTTTCAAAATTAGAGACGAGTTCCTATAAGTACTTGTTCTTGCGATAAATTTGGCTAGTAGAAGAACCGAACACCTTTGCACTATGGATTGAAAAATTGCGAAAAAGTTTGAAATGTAAAGCTCCACTGGGAATGGGGAGACGGGCAAGAGAATCGTGAATTGCCGCTTCGTCGCGCGCGGCAATGGCGCGACGTTTCCTTAATTTGCACTACCCTTTCGATTGAGCATCGGATTTCATGTAGACAAGGACATGGTAGACACTTATGTCTATTTTTGGTCATACATTGTCTATTCTCGACCAATACCACCTAAAATCTCGTCACATAGCGGGCGCGACGTTCAGTCAGGTACAGCATCCTCAGTGTGAAACGCACAGAGGGGGGGGGGGTCGTAACTTTTCCGCCGGGGAGGGGGTCGTATTTGGGGTAAGACAAATTTATTTTGATAGTTGATTTTTTCTTGTGGAAAAAGGGGGTCGTATTAATTTTTTGTGTTATATGCACCCTGTACACCCGCCGGATATACGTTGCATAGTTATTGTATACCCCCCGCTCGACGACTTTTTCGCCGACTATATACTCATCGCTCGTCAGTCGGCGAAAGAGCCGGTCGAGCTGAGGGGGGGGGTCGTACCAACGGGGAAAAAAAAGGGGGGGGGGTCGTGGCGTGGACCCCATTCGGAGGGGGGGGTCGTACTCGTCACAACGCGACATTTCGCCTATCCCTATGCCTGTACCTGTCCACGGTGCATGTGATACCCACTGGCGCGGCGAATTAGGGTGTACTTGCCTTATACCCCTGGGAATGCCAGTAAATTCTCCAAAGGTCAACGTTAAGCGCATTTCCCTATATAACTGGCTCAGCAGTAGCAGCTAGCAATGCATAAACTACGCCGCATTACAATTCTTCACAGAACGAGAACCAGTTTTTCCTCGCTTCACTCACGAGCTTCGCTGGAAGTGAAAAACATCGCGAACAAGCACGTGTTCAAGAACTGTGACTGATTGCGGTTCTATTTTAGCTCTAAAGGCGACAGCCACTGTATCATCGGTTTTGGCTACATTTATTTACTTATTGAGCTATTGTATCCAGCTGAAAACAAGTAGATGCTGTACGCGCAGCCGATTACTGTAAAACGTCATCGGAGTCGGGCGGAGGGCGGAATGGAAGCTCGCCTCAGTTAGCCTCGCTCTAAGCCCAATGGTGATCGGCCACTGATAATTTCAAAGGAAAACAAAAAGCCACCTAGTGGAACATCACGGTGGGCTCATACCATTCCTCTTGAAATCGCCCAGAATGATACGATATCAACAGTGTGGACTATGGGTTCACTAGAGCAGTTTGATTCTCGGTCTGTTTCGCCACCGACTCGTTATGTTACAAGCTTCCCAACTTTACCATTACAAGGACAGAACGCTTCCTTTGAGAGATCTAAGCGGGCGATAAGAAAAGTACTGCCACTAGTTACCCTCAACTGCACCATTTATTGGAACATATCTAGAATTTAAACGAAATTTGTTTCCTAGGGTAAATTTGCTGGAAATTTGTTTCTAGATAAAACATTTTGCTCACTTATCAGTTGAGAACGAGAAGCCCGGCCCCCGTGCAACAGACGCCACACCAAGAGACCCTTGCGTGCCTGTGTGCAAGCTAGGAATTTTTGCCTCAGAACAAAGACAAATGTTCATGGAAATAGAACACACCATCAGGCGAATGAATTCCAATCTCCTTCCAGGGCGAAATTCCGAGGGAAATGGAGCCCTAATTTCGAAAAAGGAGCTATGAAGGGTGAAGGGTGCTGAAGTTCACGAACCAGCGTAAAATGCGCGGAAACCTGTCCAGAGAGGGTGAAATAAGCTCAAAAAGGCGTGGTCCGCTCTCATCGCAGAGCGGTAATCATGCCCTCAATTCACTGTGGTAGTGTAGCGGACGTTCTGTGCCTGTAATAGGCTTTTAGTGAGCTTTTGTAGGGTTGAACAATGACCACAAGGTCCGCTGCGCATATAGAAGGTCAGCCCGCTTTTATACTTCGGAAGCCGGGCGTTCGGTCTATTGGCGCCGATCGCCCGAATCGCACCAGCCCCGCGATCGGATCGCTAAGTATAAACGCGCCCCGATTCGCGAGCGCTCACGAATATCCGCAAACCTAAAAATCACTTGGAAGTCTGTTTTTCATTGCAAGGAATATCTATGCGTCTGTAATAAAACAACTCATCTCATGAACCACACGTAACGTAAGAAATTGCATGGTTTGTGTACCAGCTAAATCTAGACTGTATTTAGGAAACAGAACAAACCTCGATGAATCTTCTGGGATCGGTTTAATCGTTGACCATCGTCGGAAAACGCAGACACAAGGGAAAATCCCGACGATGCAAACATGGTCCAAATAATCAAGTCAAGGCTCCGCTAAATCAAGACGTTTCAGAATGGCATAAAATGGTATTTCGCAGCCTCGGAGATATAATAATGCGTTAAAACGAATGAAAGAAGCGCCACTCAAAATGAAACACCCAATAGAATATCCAATTGAAACAAGTGCTGCCCAGGAAAGCGCGAACGCGCCGCCTGGCAGGAACATGGCGCCCCAGTGCGAACCGGTTCGCTTCGTGGAGTGCGTTCGTTCATGTTTCGCATTCAGTCTTCTTATTATGGATGCTGTTGAC